GTTCAGGTTTCTTCAAGATCAGCAGATTGTTCCTTCTACCAAAAGTTTCTCCAACCACAAGTCTTACCTTTCAGGGAGTCTGCAGAGAAATCCTCCTTTGACTTCATGTTGGCCAGCTCACATGGATAGTCCATCTTGATGGAGTTTCTTCCAGGCAGAGAAGCAGTAAAGGTGCTGAACCAGAAATGGGGAAGGCATAAATTCTAAGCCTCCCTTTGACGTGAGACCCAGCTGGGCAACGTTAGGCCAATCCCTCCCTCTCAACCTAACCCATCTTACAAAATTGTAATTGTGGGGAAATAAATGGAAGGAGCATTGGGTATGCCACCTTCAGTTTTATAAACTAGGCAGGCTATGAGTCTAACCCATTGTTTCTCAACCTTGGCAGCTTTAGATATGTGGATTTCAACTCCCAGAATTCCCCAGCCAGTCATAAGATGACAATTAGAGTAGTTATATTTGCCCTAATACTATTAAAGTACCCTAATTACCCTAATTAAAAGGAGCATCTGTTAACCAGGCAGATCAAATGACATGAAAAACATATGAGTAATACGCTTGTAAATGTAAGAGCAATACTAGTTGATATCCAATATTTTGCACCAACAAAGCCAAGTCAAAGTTCATTTGCAGGAAGCAAAGAATGAAATGGGGGAAAACTCAAGAGAAGGTACCCTTGGTTGCCCAACATTTTCAAAAACAGACCCAAATCCAAGTTGTACCTTCCCCCCAACCTGTGTGCCCCTACTCACAGATCACATTGTTGCTGCAGTATGTTAGAGCATCAACAGCTTTCTGCTGTTGTCTGCTGTTTGATAAGGACCAAACTCAGAGTTATGTTCTTAGAGAGACACCAACCCCAGATTTATTAACTTATATGCCATCAAGTTGTTTCCAATTGCTAGTGGCCCCACAGTTTTTCTCTGTGATGATCTGGTCCTAACCTGGTCCTTCAGCTCTTCCAACGGTGCCCCCATCATCATTTTAACTAGGTCTGTCCACTCTGCTGCTAGTCGTCCTCTTCTTCCTTCCTTCCATCTTTCCCAGCATTACAGCCTTTTCCAGAGAGTTGGGTCTTCACATAATTGCTGGAGCAGTGACAGATGGTGCTATGTTATGACACATTACACCAATGGAGGCACATTTGACAAGCTACTAGGAGACAAGAGGCCTTGAAGAACAGAATAAGCAAGCTGAGAGGAATACAAATTTTGTCCTTCATCAATGGTATTAAATTGACCCAAGGATGATTGCATTTATTTAGCATATTAAGAGAAATACAGACATGGAATTTTTATTCTAACCTTTAGGCTTCACCAAATTATCAAAACACTGTAGATGTATGTAGTGAAGTTTTACCAGGGTTCTCAAATGGATTAGAACCTAGGATTGGATTAGATTAGGATTGGTTCTCAAATGGATTAGAACTAGGGGTTCTAGGTAATACAATTCTTAGTGCCTGTAACTTTTATTGCTGGCTCTCCCAACATTGTCTCCTGTCAGACTTCCAAGATTTTCAGCTCCCAGAATTCTCAACAATGGCTGGGTTAGTCCAAGGCGATTCTGGGTGTTGGGAAAATGTTACTCTACAAGAGGTGAATTTTGCAGTCTGTTCCAGTTTTGAATGTAGAAACAGTGAATATAAGAAACAATTAACTAAAAATTCAATTTTCCCAACCATGGAGGGAAATTTTACTTTCCCCTTACTCCCAAAACTTCACCCCATACTTTCTGAGTTGAAGCAAGAGTGATGTGCTCCTTAGATGTTTTCACGAGACAGCACTTTGGAAATTAGAAAAATATTTTGTAACTATCTCAAGGCCCAATTGTTACAAGGATAAGCATGCAACAAAAGTTGTAAAACAAACCTATTCACAAAATGGCTGTGTCTAATAGCCTCTCCCTGCTTGCTGCTTTCCTGCTACAAATTGCTGTAAGAGAATCCCAAAGGTATTTTTTTTTTCAAAAGGCAACTGGACTTTGTTTTTCAAATTCCAGTTGCCTTTTGAAAAAAGCACCTTTGGGATAACCATGACCTGGATGACTGAGAATCTCCATAGATATTTACTGTAAGAGAACTGACTTGACTTCTGTGTATAGGCTGAGCATTAAATCTTTGAGCTGCAACTCAACATAGGGTCCTCATCCTTTGCACCTCTCATTAATTTAGTCAACTAGATCAATACTAGATTAGTGCCAGATAAGGGTCAATGGAATTCAAGGGTGGGGCTTGGACCCTTTGTGGCAATGTGAGGACTCTAAGTTATCTCTGCCCCCACAGCTCTGCCTGCTCTTCTCCTACAATTACTCATTTGCTTGTCCTGTTTGTTGCAACTCAACAGCAGAATCCCTGTTTTTTATGGAAAAGGTTCCTGTCTGTCAGCATTTCAAGGTTGAGAAACATCTCGGCCTGAAACCTTAGGATAGAGGTCTCCAAACTTGGCCACTTTAAGACTTGTGGACTTCAACTCCCAGAATTCTTCAGCCAGCCATGACATGGACCCAATCACTTTCCTTTGTTCTAAAGGGCCTTGAAAAGTTTGGAGTGGAGCAGTAGTGAGGTACACAAATGGTTAAGCATTCCTGTTCAGATCTGATTCCAATGTAACTTAAGCCAAAAAGTTGCTTACATACATTTGCATGCAGCATTTAATTAGTTCTCAACACCCAGTGGTTTGTTTTCATGTCTGCCCCTCTAGGTTAGCTTTATCTTTGGTTTCTTCCAAATTAAAATGGAATTCTCAGCTGTAATATCTCATCAACATACTGTACCTTGAAGATAGAACCAAACCATTTTGTTCTTAATTATTAATCAGTGATTAATCACAAACAGTGGAATGACCTCATCCAGAAGTTGTGGGTGCTTCAACACCGGAAGGTTTAAAAAAGAGATTGGGAAACCATTTGTCTGAAATGATATAGGGCAGTGGTTCTCAACCTTTCCTTCACCACGGACCCCCTTTAAATACCTTTTGTGGCCATGGACCAGCAAGAATTAACTCAAAATTTAAACCATAACATTTCTTCAAGCCTTTGCGGACCCTTTGTGATAACATTGCGTCCTTCCTAGGGGTCCACACACCACAGGTTGGGAACCATTGGTATAGGGCTTCCTGCCTGAGCAGGGGATTGGACTAGGAGACCTCCAATATGCCTTCCAACTCTGTTGTTCTGTTGGAGTCCCTGACTTCAGAACCACAGATATCATAACACCCGATATTTTGAAGTAGATCCCTGTACCGATTGGAGCAACTGGTGTAGGAATTCCCATGTCCCAGAATGGGCAGAGCCACAATGACAGGTGAGCATCAGTTTACTTCTTTCCATTGAGTATTTGGTTTAGACAATTCTAGTACTTGCTCTACATGGCACAAAGTCATTTGAAAATAAGAGAAAAATAAACATTAAAGTAACAAAAAAGGAAATTCCTCATCATGCAATAGCTGTACACATTTCATTACTAGTTCTGTTCCTCCTAGGTAGAGGCAGAACTTGAGCAAACTCTCACATCCCAAACCACTCTAGCAGGATTCACTTGTTTGCTGAAAATCCTTGATAATTTAATAGCAAAATTATAACAGGGAAAGTATCTGCCATTTTGAACGATTTTACATCCCCATTACATCTACTAGGGCTGCTTCTCAGACCTAGCTCCCTCCTTACAAAAAGAAAATGTCCATCTTACCCCAATTTAACTGACCTCCAGAAACAGGAATCCAGAATACCCATGCTAACTAGGGGATTCTGCAAGCCCACATAGCAACTGAATGCCCAAGATGGAGAAGACTGATAAGTAGATGAAACTAGCCACAGATCCATCGATGGAGGATTCATAACTACCTTATATCCAGTGACTGACATCCTTTTCTAAAATAGGTATCGCAAGAACAGTTGCTTATTCAAAACCAGCTTCTCAGTGTACTTGGATGACCCTGAATCTATCATGGTTAATTTGCTATTATTTGCTTTTGTCTTTGTAGTGACGAGGAGCAGGAAGGGGACCAGCTATGTCATCCCTTGGGGTTAGGAAGCATACTTTACATGCAGATTCAGCCAGTGCCTTTTGTCTCATATAAAGGATTCCAGGAAGGCAGCTTTGGGAGAATTTGGAGTGACAGTGCCAACACAAAAAGATCAATGCTTTGATTTAGCCTCAGTAAAAGTCCACAGGATAGGAAACAAAATATTTTGGTAGCTGAGAGCATAGTCAGAAAATGGGAAGAGAAATTACCTGGGCTGATGGTCTTTTCTTTAAAGGTCTCTTCCTTGACATCTGGTGACCTCTCTTGCCCAAAATATACACCCCAAACCTAGCAAAATAAATAAAACGGGGGTTTCGGGGTCACTGTTGGGCTAAACAGTGGATGGAAATGCCAAGGGGATCAACCAATCCAGCCAATTAATGGTCACACCTCTATGAACTTTCTAAGAGAGGCCATCTCTGGTAACATAGGAGAAGTCTAGGGCAGGGGTCCTCAACCTTGGCCACTTTAAGACTTGTGGACTTCAACTCCCAGAATTCTGGGAGTTGAAGTCCACAAGTCTTAAAGTTGCCAAGGTTGAGGACCCCTGGTCTAGGGTATTTGACTCCAAGTTACAGAGTCAGAACTGCGTATATCCCATCCTTCCTTCCTCCCTTGCTGTTACAGATGCCGATTTTGTTACTTTCAATCTGCCTCAACAAACTATACTTTGTGATTTAAATAAACTGTTGATCACCAAGTGAGGCCTTCCAAATCCATGTTCTCGTGACATCAGAATCTTCCTCTGCTTTGGAGACTTCACTAGACGTTGCCTGCGCAGGCACTGCCAAACCAATCTTTGCAGCCTTAAGAATGGAAAATTTACATTTCCTCAAACAAAAGCAGGGAGCAACCCACAATCTGTGGCCTTCTATGCTCAGTATTAATGTCTGCCTTTGCATAATGTAACTGCAGAACACACACAGCCCTCCCAGTGAGGGCACCAAATATATCACCTGAATTAGTACAAAGACAGAATTCCATTTAAGTAGTTCATTCAAACCTACTGCGTTTTTTAAAGAGATATCTGATGAGAGGGGGTTGAAACATCAGCATTTCAACCTTGCAGGCTGTTTTTCTTTCCCTGCTTTATTTCATCAGTGAACAGTTCAAAGGTTCTCTTATTTTTGGCTGCAACAGGTACAACATCTTCGTGTCACTGGCATATAGGTGCAAAGAGCATCAGCAGAACTGTAAAACAAAATGTTTTCTCTTTAATAATGCAGGAAATTGCAATCCAGATGTTTTGCCACTCTGCAGCAGAATACTAAATTCTGCACCAGCAGTTAACACAAATTGGGCATAAGCCAAGCTCCCTATGAAATAAGGAAGGGTTAGGTTCAGAGAGCACCAAAGACCTCAGAGACACAGTGTTTGGGTGGAACTATGGGCTTGTGTGATGCATCTCTTGGTGCCTCCTTCAAAGAGCTGCCTGTTTGTCTGAGATTACACACTAACACAACAAGACACTTCAGAAGTGATGTGTGCATGCTGCCAATACCTGAGATATTTTGCTGGGATCGCACAGCCACTGCACACCCCATGGAAAAGATGCAATTTCTAGAAGACCTTACTCCCTCCAAAGTGCCACTTCGCACTTTGTACAATGCAGACACAAAAAGAACAGAAGTTGCATTGCATTGCATTGGCATAGTGCTGTTTCAGTCACTTACTCCCCCTTCCAGAACCTCTGAGTCTGGAGATGAATTACTGAATTTTTAAACTTTTTTATCTATCAAATTTAGGGATTACGCATCTCACTCACCTAGTGGGCAGTGTACAGCTAAAAGCATAAAAAAACATAAAAATACAAGTAATCCTAGACTTACACAAGTTCACTTAGTGACCGTTCGAAGTTACAATGGCACTGAAAAAAGTGACTTATGACCATTTTTCACACTTAACAACTGCTGCTGCATCCCAGTGGTCACATCATCAAAATTCAGATGCTTGGCAACTGACTCATATTTATGACAGTTGTAATGTCCTGGAGTCATGTGATCCCCTTTTTGACCTTCTGACAAGCAAAGCCAATGGGGAAGCCAGATTCACTTCACAAGCACATTACTAACTTAACAACTGCAGTGATTCACTTAACACTGAGCTGTGGTGGCACAGTGGTTAGAATGCAGTACTGCAGGCTAATTCCACTGCCAACAGTTTGGCAGTTCGATCCTCACCAGCTCAAGGTTGACTCAGCCTTCCATCCTTCTGAGGTCAGTAAAATGAGGACCCAGATTGTTGGGGGCAAAATGCTGACTCTGTAAATTGCTTAGAGAGGGCTGTGAAGCAGTATATAAATCTTAAGTACTATTGCTATTGCTAACTGTGGCAAGAAAAGTTGGGAAAGGGGCAAAACTCACTTAACAAATGGCTCAGCAGCAGAAATGTTGGGCTTCATTGTGGTCGTAACTTGAGGACTACCTGTACTGCTGCCCTTGGAGGTCTTCTGGCCAAAGGGAAGATGAATTACCCCAAATTTAGGGATTGCCCATCTCACTTCACTGAATAACTCTGGGCAATGTACAGCTAAAAGCATAAAAACCATATAAAAATACACAGGCGATGCTAATCATCTGCTTCAAGCATTTACTAGCAATAGTACAAACCTTCCAGCGATTGCCGCACTCATTACAGAGCACGAAAGTCGTCATGGGCTCGTCGGCGCTCCGGGTTTGCACCTGATTGTAGGTGCAGTTCTTTTTCTTGCACTTTCCGCACTGGAAGAGGTCGGTGGCAGTACCTCCTGTCTTTGCCATCTGATGCTCTCGAATAGCTTCTTGGGTCATGGCATTTCTTAGCTCCTTCAGTTCATCACTAGCCATTTCCTGCAATGCACAGCAGTGTTCACTGCACCAACTGCAGCAGCGCCCGTTTAGTTAGGCAGCTTTCATCAGAGTTCAGTCTTGCTGGCCCTGTTCGGTTGCAAAGCTAGTGGAAGCACTGGCACACAATGCTCAATTTGGTTTTAACCTTGGTTAGGAGTTTTTTGAGCAGGGACGACTTTATCTGATAGGTGAATCTGGTTAGTGAATGGGTTATGCCATCCAGAAAATGCTTACTTTAAAAAGTTTAAAAGCAGGGTACGGACACAGCCACAAGTTGTTAATTTGAGCTGAGAGATTAAAAGACTTGGATCAACTGGGCAGCAGGAAAGACCAATGGCTGAGCTAACCCATAATGTACCCTGTTTGGTTTTGGCTTCAATCAGTTGCTAAACTAATGGTTGTAAGTCAAGGGCTACCTATATACAGGTAGTTCTCGACAACAGTTCCTTTAATGACCGTTCAAAGTCACAACCTTTGCAGGTTGTTTGACCATTTTGCACAGTTACAACCTTTGCTTGGCAACTGGCTCGTATTTATACGGTTGCATTGTCCAGGGGTCCAGGGGTCATGTGACAAACAGAATCAATGGGGAAGCCAGATTCCCTTAACAACTGGGGTTACTAACATAACAACTGCAGTGATTCATTTAACAACTGTGGCAACAAAGGTCGTAAAATGGGGCAAAACTCACTTAACAAATGTCTCACTTTAACAGCAGAAATTTGGGGCTTAATTGTGGTCATAAATCAAGGACTACCTGTACAGGGTTACACTACGCTATGCTGTGCTAATTTATTTAGCCAATGACCAGCATAAAACTTGCATGAACCCAGATATGCAATAACTGTTATATATCATTAAAACAGCTGCAAATGCAATTAAAGATTTAAATTAAGGTAATCAAGCTTAACAAACAGATACATTTAAGATCTGATGTATCAGATCTCGATGCAACAGACTTTACACACTATAAAGCCAATCACTGTGACAATATCCAGCTTTTGCATAACGACGCCATCATTCAACCGAAGTAAACTGCCCTGGTGACACCCTCTCTCATTTAACAGACAACCAGACATTTCCTTCCCCCACAACTGATTTGTTAAATTCAAATTTTATTTGTATTATACAGGCCTGAGAAAAACAATATATCGCCTCTTTCTACTGACCTCTGCCGTCATCTTGGCAATTAGGGCTGGCAGGATGGTTCCACACAGCACATTGCGGCGCAAGCCAGGATTCTTGGGGTCCTTCAGGTTGCTAATTCTGCTCCTCACTCGGTTTCGGTATTTCATATCTGTGCTCTTCAGTTCTTGGTAGATATGTGGCAGCATTAAGGAACAATGTTTATTTTAGTCTGGACTAGTTAGTTTGTTCTAGTGATTAAAATACCAGGGAAGAAACCTGTTGTGCCTTAGGCAGGCAATTTGGCTGAGTGACTTTGGCCAATCACCAGGAGATGGCGAGTTCTAGTCCCACCTTAGGCATGACAGCTGGCTGAGTGACTTTGGGCCAGTGCTCCTCTTCCAGCCCAACCCACCTCACAGGGTTGCTGTCGTGGAGAGGAGGAGGAAAAATTATTAAGTATATTCTCTGTCTTGTGTTACTGAAGTAGTAATAAAGGTGAGTTAAAAATTAAATAAACATGTGGAAAATGAAGAGAACATGCAAAAAAAAAATGCATATCTAGAAATTCTTGGGGTTATTTCTGCTTTCTCATCCCACCCTTCTACTCCAAGGACTTTCCCCCATCTCTGAAGGTTTTGATTTTTGTTTTTCGGGTATTCCTGCAAACCTGGGATCTTGTTGCTTCCTCCATCTCCCATACAGGAGGAACAATCCTGAGAATTGCCGTTAGTCCTAAAGCCTAGCTATATCCTTATATATTTCTTATTACTCTCATTTTTAACAACGACTAATATATTTCCAGAAGAACACACTTTCTGTCTGAAGCAGTAGGCAATTAGTTCCCATACAAAATTTCGACCCATCTTTTTAGCCTCCTAAACTTTTAGAAAAAAGTTCAAGAAAACATCTCCTGAATTTATACAATTCAAATGGCTAAAGTTTTTGTTTTTACCCATCCAGCCAACATCTGTCCAATCTTAGCATAAACCTTTCCCAGTCTGATGCATTCGCCACCCATACCAATAACCAGCAGACCCGAATATCAAAAAGATATGATCTTCAATCTCGGCTGCCATCTTATCACAGTTGACCCCAAATTCTTTGTAATCATCTTTGATGGTGACGAAGAAGAGAAAGAAATGAAGATGGGGACAGAAGAAAAAATTGTTCAGCACAACCAGATGAAATTCAGTTTTGTGTCCAACCCCCCAAAATTGAACTTCTATGCTTAGATCAGGAATGTCCAACCTTGGCATCTTTAAGATGCGTGGACTTCAACTCCCAAAATTGCCCAGCCAGTGAGTTGAAATACACACATCTTAAAGTTGCCAAGGTCGGATACCCCTCTTAGTTTAAAAAAAATAAATGCATAAAATGAATAACTGGTGTAAGAGCAACAATAAAAAAATATAATTTCCTATAGAACGCCTATTAATATCAATAATGCAACAAACAGTAGTAGCAGCAGAAAATAATTGTTTACTTCTGAATGTGAATTTTTAAACTGTGGATTGTTGTTTCCACTATATTTATTTGAACCAGGAGCATTTGCAGGTGCTGATGCTTTCATTAAAATGATAAGCAACCAACATCCATAAGCTCTGTCCCTTCCATACCCACATTTAATGTCGTGACACACACCCAAAAGGGCAGAGTTTGCATTGTGATGCTCTTTTCATCATCTGCCTCCCTACAAATGCCTCTGATTTGGACTCACTTTTTATTTTATTGTTGCTCTTCATTTTATCTTATTTTACTGACTGTTTTTATTTCTCTGCATTGTCTTTTATTGTCCTTCCTTTGGAATCTCTATGTTCTGCTGCTACTTGGTGTGGCACCATAAGTAAAATCAATTCTATTGGTATTATCAATCATCTCATGCAGTATTGCAGGCTGACTCTGCTTACTGCTAGGAGTTCAGTCCTGACCGGCTCAAGGTTGACTCAGCCTTCCATCCTTCCAACGTCAGTAAAATGAGGACCCAGATTGTTGGGGGCAAGAGGCTGACTCTGTAAATTGCTTAGAGAGGGCTGTAAAGCACTGCTAAGCGGTATATAAATCTAAGTGCTATTGCTATCTTTATATCAATTACTGTGGAAATGCTTTGTAGTCATGTAATCTAATCCAGGGCTTTTCAACCTTTTCACCCATTGTACCACTTTTAGGATATGGCAACATCCGAGTACCACCAGTCGCCTAGCAAGGTGTCAAAAACTTGTTGACCCAAAACAAGAGAGGAAAAAGTGATGAAGTACAGGTAGTCCTCGACTTACAACAGTTCGCTTAGTGACTGTTCGAAGTTACAATGGCACTGAAAAAAGTGCCCCCTAAGCCACAGCCGAGCAAGACACCTGCCTGCCCGCCTGACGGCGCTCTTACTCCTGTCCGAGGTTTCCATTGTTGTGAGCATTTCTGTTGAGGATTGGCAGCGGGGGTGGGGTGGGGGGTGTTTGGTTTTTATTCCCCCCGTTTGCTGGGTGGTTGCAGCAGGTTTTGGTCACTTCACATGACCCTGGGACACTGTGACTGTCATAAATATGAATCAGTTGCCAAGCATCTGAATGTAAATCACAAGACCCTGGAGAGGCTGCAACATTCCAGCTGATCGGCGCTTCTTCTGGGCTCAGCAGAAGCACCAGGATCAGTGCTGCTTTCCAGCTGATTGGTGCTTCTTCAGGGCTCAGCAGAAGCACCAGGATCAGTGCCGAGCTCCAGCTGGAGCCTGGCGCTGATCCTGGTGCTTCCACTGAGCCCTGACAGCCCCGAAGAAGCGCTGATCCTGTCGCTTCCGCTGAGTCCTGACAGCCCTGCAACTCCAGCCGTCTCTCACTCAGGCTTATGCGGTGCTGCCACCGGTTCAGCTCATTCCCCTCCCCCGCTACCACTTTTCTAGGATGATCGCGTACCACCTGCGAGGTGCCAATGTACCACAGGTGGTACCCGTACCACTGGTTGAAAAGCCCTGCTTTAGATCCCCTTGACTTTCCTCCTAAGTTAACTTCTAACCCCCGCCCCCCAGGATGTTTTTTTTCCTCACCATCCATTTTCAGGGCTGCAGAGACCATCTCAATACACTTGTCCCTAATGGAGTCTCCAGTCAAGTAGCAGGAGGGCAAGAAGCAGACAGAAGTCCCAAATGTTGGCGTGACAGGGCTGGCAGGCACCTCACTTCGAGATCTGTCATTTGATCTGAGCAGGACATCAAGTGAGATTTTTGTTTTAAATGAAAAATGCTAATACTATCATGACGACCACTTTAATATAGCCTCTAGCCCAAGACAGAAGGCCATTTGGGATCATAGAAGTCAAGAGCAATCAAATGATTTTGCTATCCAAGCCAAACTATGCTACTCGCCTCTTCCTTCCCTAGCTGCAAAAATCCAATAGAGAGACATCAGAAAGCTAATTGTTTGCTTTCTTTTCTTGAAGCTCAGGTTGAGCAAGCTGGAGCCCCTGCTTAATGGCAGGGCCTGTCCCAAATTCCAATCTGGCCTGTGCTACTTACACTTTAAGCCAGGGCTGATGTGATTGATCGGCATGTTCATACAACATGCTTAACCAATTAGGAAAGGATTTAAGAGATGTATTTGTACAACTTTATGAGCTTGGTTAACATGCGTTTCATTTCAATCTTTGGTGCTTAGCTTACAAATCCAGCCTGACTGGTTGCATTGGTAAACCCAGCAAAAGGGTTAAATGAATCTCCGGATTATAAGCTTTGTATGAATGCGGCCAACTTTTTTCAAAGCCAATATTGTATGACATGAAAGCTATTTCTTTTGTCTCTCACACACAATATTAGAACTTCCCATGGAAAACTTGTGCAGAATTCATAAGATGCAAAAATGAAGGCTACACAAGAAGTCATATGCCAACAGCTACAAGGCATATCCTTTCACAAAAGGACAGTCCTCATGTGCTCTGTTTAAAAAGCTGCCAATTCATATTCTGGCCTATGGGAAAGCACCTATAAGGAGGAGCAGCCAGGGATCTTTAAGGAGTTTATCCTACATAAAAAACTGGCCATCAAACTGAACAGGTACTCAAATTACTTGTTTACATAATGAGATATTTCATGTTCCTTTTTAAGTATTGGTATTATTTTCAAACTTAAATCTTTACCAGAATTGCGCACCTCATATCCTGCCAATATCTTAGCCTGCAATTCTCATGATTAATGACTGGGATAGTGGAAGTTGTAGTCAAAGATATGTGCAAATTGCCTATCTCTTAAAAAAATTACATGTGTAGCCTTTTTCTGTCCACTCTAAGAAGTTGCAGTGAAGTTGATGGCTTAGATGGCTTTCAAGAAATGTCAGATAAAAACATAGGGAAAATGTCTATTAACAACTATTTGTTTTAGGGTGATATATGAAACATCCAGTTCTAAAGCACTGTGACAGTGAACAGCAGCTCCTGCAAAAGCAACTGAAGAGGGATATTGTCTGCACACTTTGATTGATCTGTTAAACAATGCCAATTGGCAATTGGAGCCACTTAAATTTTTTGCTCCTGCTCCATTTTTATACCTCAAGGTTTGGCTGTCCTCCTCCATGTAGCTAATTTATTCTGTTTTTCCTTTGGTTTGGAACAGCCCCAACCCAACAATACCTTTCATCTTTGCTATCCTCTTTGCTTTTATGAGATCCAGGAGGTGAGGCTGCTGGGTTGGAGCTGGTAGAGGTTCTCCTAGAGTGGATACAGAGAGGTGCGTCTTAACAATTTCAGTTCAGGTCATGATAATTCAAAGCACAATTTTAGGATTTTTTAAAAACAAAGATGCAGCATAGATTCTCTCCATGCCAACATATGTGATCTTGTCTTTTCTAAGGTAGGAGTATAAGAAGAGTTATTTCATCAGTTTATCAGTGGAATGACTTGCCTCCAGAAGTTGTAGATGCTCCAACAATGGAAGTTTTTAAGAAGAGACTGGACAACTATTTGTCTCAAATGGTATACGGTTTCCTGCCTGAGCAGGGGGTTGGACTAGAAGACCTCCAATGTCCCTTCCAACTCTTGTCATTCTGTATCTTGCTAGATCAGTCGGACCAATGTAGTAGCAGAATTAGCACAAGGGCTGGATTCACTTACCTGTCAACTGACAGTCTCTTGGGAGAGGAAGTAGAGGAAGCAGCAGTAGAGCTGGAAGATCTTGAATCTTTGGAATCCCTCCTTTATCAGGGGAAAAAGGGGTGAATAATATTGGCAAAGATGCATACATCGTTAGACCTCCTTGCCATAAAACTGAGTCTAACTCAACTTACGACTGTAATGACTTATAACAGAAATTCTGATCCCCATAATAGTCATAATTCAAGGGCTACCTGCATCCTGTCAATCACAAAGTGCTTGCATACACTCCCTCAAAGCTCAGGATGCTGTGGGCTACTGCATTAAAACCCATTAATTCTGGCTACAGCGGATGGGGAGGGCAGATGGCCAAGTACATAGAATGCAACATCATTACTGCCCTCATTTGTAGAAAGCTGTACTGCAATTACAAACTCATTTATAATGCAACAATTGCATACACAAACGACAACAGTCGCAATGGATGTTGTATTGATGGCGGTGGAGGGTGCTCCGTAGATATTCATTTGTCTGCGGTCAGCTTAAGAATGATTCTCCTTTTTCCTTTCTAATTCTTTACATCTTTAAGAACCTTCATTGGGAAAGGGTAGCTCTCTCCAGAGCCCTGAAAACATACCTCTCTTTTTTGAGCTCCACGTGTGACTTTTGGGAAGTAGAAGCATCTTTGGGATCTCTGCACAGGGAGAACAAATATTAGACTGTGTTACATCTTGACTCCACAATATTCAGAGGCGACTTCTTGATGACGTAATAAATAACTGTTGTCTCAGTTCTGTAATTCATGACCGTAAGTCATTTCTCAGTCAATTTTCTCTAGATAAAACAAGATAATTACAGAATATCTGTCTTCTAATGACAAAAGACAAAAAAAACACTGAAGCATAAGAAAAGGACACTCAAACTTTACAGACATTCCTCAACTTGTAACCAATCACCTAGCAACCGTCTGAAGATACAACAGACCTCCCTGGGGGTACTTAAAATCAGGTGCCAAAATTCCGATGCCTCAGCAGTTCTGTGATCAGATTCAGCAGCCAGCCTGCATTTGCAGCACCCTGCAGTCACATGACCAGGTTGTCAAGATTGACTCCTAATGCACCTCTACTTGCAGCTTGACAACAGAGACAATCTGGGGGGGGGGAGGGGGAATGCTTGGAATGTATTGGGAGCTGGGAGGGAGGTGAGGAATGTATATGAGCCCTTTTCAGCCTGAGAAAATCCTGAGACTTCAAGGCCGTGCAACGGGGACCTTATGAAGGCACAGACTTTTCCCAAAACAAAGCAAACGTGCTAAATTGGTGGTCAATTGACAGGGGGTGGCCCAAATGGGGGAAAGGGTTAGGGTTAGGGGAAATTAATTATGCTGTTTTTCACGTGAAAACCTCAGCGCAGCGCTGGCTTCGCTTCTCCCCATATGGATCTATCAATAAAGTTATACTATTGGTAAAAAAAATGTCCTAATAGTTTTTCTTTTGCTGCATATGCCAATGGGATGGTTGACACAGGTTTTACAATGGTTTTGCCAAAAACCAGCATTTGCTTCCAGTTTTCAGCAAAACTGGCCATAGTGAACAATTGGTTCATTTAATGACCACGGCGTTCGCTTAATGAATGCTGAAAAAAAAGGTCACAAAATCAGGTCAGATACGTGGGTGAGCCATTTTACAACTGGGCTCCATTACAGTCATAAGTTGAGGACTACTTGCTGTGGTGGGATTCAGCTGGTTCGCACCAGTTTGGCAGAACCGGTAGCTAATTTTTTGTTGCCCAGGCCCAGAACGGACTTCCGGAAGCGGCATCCACACAGAGAACCGGTTGTTCACCTATTTGAATCCCACCACTGACTACTTTTATTTCCGTTTCTTGCTCAGCTTTCTCCAACCTGGTTCCCAGAGTGAAGTAGATTTGAGTTATGTAAACTGCCAATTGCAGGCTTCTTATTTCAAGGAAAAGGCCCATTTCTCCGCCAGAGTACAAGAAGGCTGTTAGAACAAAAATCACAACATCTCCACCTAAATGTACAAGGGGATTAATTGGTTCTAAGTGCAAAAGCTGAAATTGCTTCCCTGTCATCTCAGTCAGTCTTGCTTGGAAGACTTATTGTCAGTTTGAGGCAGCTGCCAAAGAACCTGAAAATAAACAGGATTACAACTGGGATTCCCTGGAGGATTTCTCAACTAAACTTGTGGAAGTTTAAATTAAGTTAATAAAGTATCTGAAGAACTGTCTTGTCCTGTCCTGCTCTTTCCTCCTGGGAAAGGCAGCTGGAGATTTCCCATCTACTTTCCCCATCCAAGCAGAGGCAATTATTTCCCTGTGGTTGTGCCTCCCTTCCTTGAAGAGCCCCTCCCTCAACAACATCAACTTTTCCCTTGTTTAGAAAACCCATTAAAACAATGCTGTTTAATAGATCGCCTGGGGTGTGAAGGTTATCACAGAGATTGAGAGTCCAGAGCAGACCTTAATTGTGAATTCTGATTTCTTTTTAACACATGTCCTAATAAGCATGCCAAGAGATGGGATGCGTTTAAGGAAGGGTTGGGCAAACATCTCTAGTCATCAGCATCAGGGGTGAGTAAAATTGTCCTGATGACATCACAATGGAAGCCCTGCAATTTCTCTACAAGGGCGGAGTTTGCATAATGACATCATAACCTGTGTGATGTCATTTTTTCCAACACCCTAACCTGGTCTTTAAGAGATGATGCATCAAAATCTACACAAAATGTGATTTACTAAAGCAAGTAAATGAACTGCATTTGGGGCTATAGAATGCAAAGAATCGGTGCAAAGAATCAGGTTCATTCATAAAGTTGTAGCACAGAAGATTTATTCAAGCTTATACACAAGAATCTCCTCAATTAGTGATCACCACTAAATTGGCTCTAGAGTCTAGATAAAGGTCAGCAGAATTCAAGTAGGGTTCGACTTAGCTGACAATGAAGGGATTCCAAATTGATGATGCATTTAACTCCGCCTCCCAGCTCTGCCTGCTCTTCTCCTACACAGATCCTACCTAGAGCTGAGAATTGGATCTGATGTCATCTGAGATTTTCCCCCACCCCCTTTTTTACAATTTGGTGAAAACCTGCAAAACAATTACAGCTTTCCCCATCTTTCTGATGCCAACTTGAGACCAAAGATGTATGTGTCCTCTTTATAAAGAGGACAGAACAAATCTGTCCTCTTTATCTCCTCTGTCCTCTGCTATCAGAACAAATACCCAGAGTTTCCAAAGTTCATTTTTCATGGTTGTAATGCATGCACAGTCTCTGCAAGGCTTTTCTTTTCTGGATATGGAAAGACGCAATGAAAACTGCATATGAATAAGGCAAAATAAGTAAGCCTGCTGGTAAAGTACCTGGAAGGTGGGGGAGGGGGGGAGGGAGAGAGACATTTCTCTAGAACTGAATGTGGAGTTTAAAATTTTATGAGATTACAAGTCAAGTGAAATTGCTAAAAAAAGGAGGCAATAAAACATACAAATAAATCAGAGAGCTGTGGCATTTTTTATCTTTTAAGCTCATATTTACAGAAGATCCTACATTTTGCTTAGAAAGGGCAATCTATATTATTTATGAGTTTGGGTAGTAAGGCAGCTGAGAGATGAACACCCCGTAAGCAAGAAATGTACTGAGTCTCTCTTAATTTTGAAGGCAGCTATGGGCCAGCTATGGGCCAGCAATTTTTTTAATACAACTGCCACTCAGTGAGGACCTATTAATGCCATCTCTCTCTGCCTCAATAAAGTGCCACACTTCAATATATTGTTTCTGCTATTGCCAGAGAAAGAAGAGGCGATTAAAAGGTCAGGTGGATGTTATCACCTGGCACAGCACAAGCACAAAAAGCTGTTGAATGCTGCTTTTGTTAAGGACAGGTAACTACCATACATGGCCAACAGATGGCAGCACCTCTCAAGGCAGCACCTGATATGAAAAAAGCTAAGCAGGGACAAATGTGGCTAGGGTTTGGATGAGTTATCCTAGGGCTAAAAGATAGATCAGCTATTTTCAAACTATATACTTGATGGCATTCCATGAGAGACAGGGAGGGAAGGAAGGAAGGAAGGAAGGAAGGAAGGAAGGAAGGAAGGAAGGAAGGAAGGAAGGAAGGAAGGAAGGAAGGAAGGAAGGAAGGAAATCAGTTGAACACTGTCAATATTCTATTATTAGAGCTTTGCCTCTTGATTATGGGTCCTGGGGATTCTTTTTTATATAACAGTTTCCATATACAGTTTAATATGCAATTTAATTAAAGGGTAAAATGATATACAAATGCAAATGTGTTGATTTATGTAAACAGCCATCACTGAATAAAAAAGGCACAAAATTAATCTGGAGGAGAAAAATGAAATATTGAGGAAGAAAGAACAAGGGAAGAGCCATTGGGATCTGCATCTTGTACCACCAATTCTATTACAGAATTGAAGAATATTCAATAAATTGGCCTATTTTTACTCAGCTATATAACCATCAAAGGAGAAGATGTGCTGCAGACTTTATTTAATAAACTTTGGAGGAACTTCCCAAAGCCATCAGCTCAGCTCACCTCTGTCATCTTTCAAGCAGCGAGTTAGCCGAGTCCAGGGACAAAATCTGACTCACTAGCACTGAAGTGGAAAGTGAAATTAAAGAGGCTCTCTGGCAAAATAAAACTGGCATTTCACCAAGGACAAACAAGATCAAGGGAGAAACATTTTTCATCTTAAGAAACCTAGAAGCCGACTCCTATCCTGAGATAAGAATGGCACTGAAGGCCTAATAATATTCTTTAATTCAAAAAGCTAGTAATTACTTTTTAAGTTGTAAACCAGAAGGAGATAATTTTTTACTGGAAGCTGCATTTGAAAAATAATATTTGCAGCTGTAAAGATTGTAATATTATTGGATGAGCAGAAATATTTTGGCCTTTTGAGGCAGATTTGAGAAGAGTTAACTATGTCCATTGTGCTGATAAATTTCAGTAATCCCAACTCATTGGGGGGGGAGGGGTGTTAAGGAAAGTAGTATCTGGCCAGCAAATCTTGTCATTTCTTTCTTAAACGGATCTACCCACTGTAAGGAAAGTTGGCAGAAAGGGAAATTCTTACTTTCTCCCCCACAGAAGCTTGCAAGTAGGGAAGAAAAGGTCTTTGGATATCCAGTGAGGAATCAAAATGCAGGTTCCAAAGCATCAAGGCTATATCTGTACTAGTCAATGCTAAGAGTATGCACCAAAAGAACAGTAGGTGACATATCCCTGCAAACGAAGAGATGCATTCATATTTATGTATTTCAGAAAGGAAAATAAGGCCTATTTATAAGTAATAATGTAATAGATCTCAGGTTACTTCCTGCCCTCCTGTTATCTGCAGAGAACAACGGTCTTAGTTAGAAAAAAACATTTGCATCTTGAGGTTCAGGGATTGCTGTGGGAATGTTCTGATACACTCTGAGCTACAAGGACACATTCCTTATGTCTTCATTTATCTATCAAACAACCTCATTCATCTGAAAACCTGATTCCCCCCCCCAAAAAAAAACCCCAGGTATATCTCGTTCCTTTCACATCTTTTAAAATAATTACATTTCCAATTACAGAGCATACCTGTCTGGTTTGGAGACCAAGGAAGAACTACTCTTGAGCATGACTTCGTGTGAGGTGGATTTATTCAGTTTCCTAGAAAGGAAAACAAAGAACAACTGTCAACCTGTGGAGAAGGTCAGAGCTTAGGGATTGAACTATCTTGCTCTTCAACTTGAGAAATTCACACTTCTCTTCCAGGTGCCTCTGTGAAGCCCCAGCTTTCAGGTTTTTCTCCCAAGGTGATAACAATAACTTATTGATCAAAACCAGACAGTGTGCTTTCCATCTGAATTCAGATAAATCAAGATTTGCAAAGGTTCTATGTGATTTTGAACACTTGAAACTGTAAATCAACAAGCAAACAGAAATCAGCAATCTGCTTCACCACCAACCCTGGGAAAAAATCACCTTCACCCATTTTTGTGATTTTTTAAAATTTTTGATTGTGCAGTGCCCTGCTTTTTCCAATCCCCAATCAACCATAATTTTCATTTAATAATAATGTCACCATTTACTAACCAAAAATTATCCAGTTCTGCTTTAAAGCAAGACAAAGGCAAATATCGAGCTAACTGAATCTTTTTTGTTACTACAACTGTAAGATCTAGCAGTCAGATGCAAAAGATAAATGACATTTAGGAAAGCCTCCAATCCCCTCCTTCAATTCTCCCCATTTAGGGAGTCCATTTCAGAACACCCCAAATCTAGAAATTTGATTTCTGCACCAGAATTGAGCTGTAGACTTAAATATTAGTTAAAGCACTCCATTTCTTATACGCGTTCTTTCTTTCATGGGTTTTAACAGTCTGACGTAGGTGGAAAAATATTTTGTGGTCAGAACAATCAAACAGTTAAAGATTTATGATCCATTACAAATTACTCAGAAATCTACTTGTAAAACCCTAGAGCTCTTCTGATTTCAAGAGGCTGTCTTTGCTGTGAAGGGGATGGCTGCCCCCCACAACTGCAGACAACCCTGGGAAAGAATGAACTGCCCCAATTTGTGCCCCCCTGTGCACTCTGAATCAAACCCAAAGCAATGCTCATCCTTATTAAATGCCTTCTCTTCACCCCTTTCTACTTTAAGCAAGTATCTCTAAGCCTTAATTCAGTGATTCTCCTCCACCTCAAAAGATGTTTCTTTTCCATTCTGAGCAGTCCAGATACACTATAGCAAGTGTTTCTCATCCTCAACAATATTAAGATATGTGCACTAAAACTCCCAGAAAGCATGCTGGGTGGGTAATTCTGGGAGCTGACGTCCACACCTTAACATGGCTGCCGTCAAGAAATACTGTATTAGAATGTATATCCTGTAAAACACACTCCGTTGGGAACTACAAATTTCTATGTCAGAATATCTTTTCTTATCCAGTTAAATTGAATCCCAAGGTAGTCCTTGATTTACTATCACAACTGGGACCAGAACTTCCATTGCTAAGCAAGAGAGGTGTATTAAGAAAGTTGTGCCTGATTTTATTACTCTTTTTGTCACAGTAATTAAACAGATCACTGCAGTTAGGTGAATTATGCATTCCTTAAGCAAATTCAGCTCACCCTATTTGATTTTGCTTCTCTGGGAATATTGCAAATAATAATCACATGACTTTGAGTGACTGCAACCGTCCATAAATACACACATCAGTATGACTGCCACATGCCTGAATTTTGATATCGTGACCATGGGGATGCTGTGATGGTTGTTAAATGCAATAACCAGTTGTAAGTCACTTTTTTCAGTGCCGCTGTGACTTTGAACAGTTGCTAAACAGATGATTGTAAATTAAGGACTACCTATGTAAGTGAAGACTTAAGCATCCAGGCCAAAAGTATCTGAAAAGGTTAAATCATGGCAACTGGACCAAAGTTTATTAAACCAAGACATTTTGTTACTCATCCAAGTAACTTCTTCAGTCAAAATGATGATTTGGCCTGGATGCTTGAGTCTTCATTTACATATTGCAATACATTTGGGGAGAAATCCCTGCAGTTGGTACGGCAAGAATTACCACAGTCCAACAGTTCTCCGACTCTCTGCCTAACTATTTTTTTATTTTGACTGAAGAAGTTACTTGGATGAGTAACAAAATGTCTCTGTTTAATAAACTTTGGTCTAGTTGCCATGATTTAACATTTTTAGATACTTAAGGACTGCCTGCATTCAATTCTGCTCTCTCAAGTTTACCCATCATACATAGATAGATAGATAGATAGATAGATAGATAGATAGATAGATAGATAGATAGATAGATAGATAGATAGATAGATAGATGATAGATAGATAGATAGATAGATAGATAGATAGATAGATAGATAGATAGATAGATAGATAGATAGATAGATAGACCTTTATTGTCATTTTTTTTACTGTGGGCAAAATGGCACAAATTAAAAATGAAAATTTGTTGCTTGCTCTCAAAAGTGTACACATACATTAACACACATTTAAACATGCCATATACAACATATGTATAAACTTACACCTTTACATATAAATAGTAATATAAATATTAATCACTGTCCATCTTGAATACATAGCAGAAAGAGGAAGCTTGAGAGTTCACAAGGTTGATATTGTATGGAACAAAACTGTGGCTGAATCTGGATGTTCTGCTTCAGATACCACGAAGCCTCCTCCCAGAAGGTAACAAGGAAAACAGGTCGTGAAGAGGATGTTTAGTGTCCCAGACAATCTTGTGGATTGTATTGCAAAACAGTGTTATTCTAGCTATTCATTGCACGACGGACAGATTTGTGTAAACAGCTTGAATATGCCAATACCTGTCTTTCTGCTTTCCATCAGGATTTTTGCAGACATCCACAGAGTTGGAAAGTGCCCCTTCAGCTTTCCAGCCAGAGAGAGCAATGTCTTTCTCTTTTTTCCCTTTTTGTGTCCCGGATGACTCTGAAAGAAAAAGGGGGCATTCAGGTAGAATTGTAGCCAGCTGAGCAGCATAAGGATACCACTCAGTCACATGAAAAGTACCACAGTCACCCAAGCCCTTGGTATTCTTCCTTAGGTTGGATTGGTAAGGATCAAAAACTTTAAAGTAAATTTGTCTTTGAGAACAAGGGGTTGCAATAAAAAATCTGAATCCCCAATACTAACTCCCTCCCCAAGTTGTGCCATTACATGTCATTCTATTTGTCAAGGGGAAAAAAGTGGAATTAAGGGCAAATGTCACTTATTTCTAAATCCTTCTTTTATACAATGATTTACATTTATTCCCGATTTGTACTATTTTTGTCCTGCACATTCACAGTTAAAAATAATAACCCCCGAGCAGGCAGGGGTGCAATACACTGAAAAACTAGTTGCAATAAATAAGATTAAAATTTAAAAATAAGTTACACTATTTTTCAAAATTATTGTAGACAGATTATCTTTAAAAATAGGTTATAGGTTATAACTAGTTTAAAATCGCCATGATACAGGACCACCAAGGCAAACAAGAGGAAATGGGGCAGATTAAAGCATCTGGAAAGCGATTTTGTATGTATCCAAGATGCCAGTCCATCATTCCCTTCACATCTAAGAATTCCCCAGATCTGCAATGGCTGGTTGGCATTTCTGATCACCCATCATAAAGAACAGCTGGATTCTTACCTAATAGCCTCTTCCAGTTTTTGATAAGGAGTTTAGCCAGAACCACCACTTCCTTGTCTGAGCAATGTTTACGCACTGTGTTGACAGCCACACCAATTTTGGTGGTCTGAAACAAAGCAAAGAAAGATTTGCACTACTGGAATCTTTTGTGGGGAGAAGAATCTCAGTATCCCCATTTTCAAATCATCATTACAAGGGATGCCAAGACAGAGAAGACCTTTCCCTGTTCCAGATGCTGCATTTCCTTAATTCTTCCTCACCGCCAATGAAAACGATGAAAAATCATGTGTCCAATTTATTTATTTACTAGTTTGATCCATTTACAACCCTCCTCAATTGCCAAAGTGGTGACAATGCATTAAAAAGATCCACATGTGTCGAGAGGGGTAGCAGATTGTCAAAATCTGCACAATCGGGTGCAATTATTATGAAAAGAGATGGGGGTCCATTTTAACATCATGCAGATTCTGGTGCTCCCTGGCAAATAGTCCTGATTGAAACCAAGCAAAAAGAAAATGATAAATCATTGAACAAAACCAGAACAACAGAGTTGGAAGGGACCTTGGAGGTCTTCTAGTCCAACCCCCTCCTCAAGCAGGAGACCCTTTACCATTCCAGACAAATCTTAAGACCCTTGGAGCACCCACAACTTCTAGAGGTAAATTATTTCACTGATTAATTGTTCTGTCAACAAATTTCTCCTTAGATCTATGGTTGGTTCTCTCCTTGATTAGCTTCCACCCGTTGCTTCTTATCCTGCCTTCTGCCTTTTCTAATACTGGTAATAACCAGTATTACCACATTGGGTAATGGGGAGAAAACACTGTAAATAACCAAGGGTCAGACATTTGAGAGATGTGATCTTCAAGGGAATAAAGGACATAAAATAAGTGTTAAAATTCTCTTCAGGTTTTCCAACCATCCATCCGACTAGAACTGAAGGATGGCTGAGGGACATCAAATGCTGTATGGCATTGGATCACTTTTCTTCTCTTAGCCTCCCTCTCAGGGCTGTTGAGAAGACAAAGTAGATACTTGGACTGAGGAAGTCCCTCTGCATTGCCTCTGCAGTTCCTGCAGGAAAGCTGAAATTAACCTAACAGAAGCTGATGACAACCGTTTGTTAGAGATGCCTCTCTCCCATGCTGGTTCTGCTGCCAGTAATTTGCACTATCCTTACCATGAGCATATCAAGCATGTAACAGTGTGCTTAACAACCATGCAGGATTCATTTAACAGTGGTAACCGGAAGTGCTGTAACTGCTGTCACTAAGTGGCACGGTAACATGACATCTTGCTTTACAACTGTGTTGCTTAGCAACAGAGTTGCTGGTCCCAATAACCATTGTTAGGTGAAGACTGGCTGTTTTAGTGCTGAAACACTGTGGAATGCTTGGAGTTAAACAGGCCATGAAAAAGGTTTCAATCTACATTTCCCAAGACAGGGGTCTTCAAACTTGGCCTTTTTATGACTTGTGGACTTCAACTCCTAGAATTTCTCAGCCAGCCAGTCTGGGAGTTGAAGTCCACAAGTCATAAAAGGGCCAAGTTTGAAGACCCCTGTCCCAAGAGAACAAAGCAACCCCAGCCTTACCTGCAGCAGCTCAACGGTCATGGTGCAGCTATTCAATTTCTTCAATAAGTCCAGAGCTCCTTCCTAAGAGGGGGAGTGGGCAGAAAGAGCACAGAAGGCATCATTTAGACTTCATTTTCTGTTTTTCTATCGTTTTTCATCCAAGGCAAGTCCTTTAAAGGTTCCATGAGAGCAAAAAGTGCCAGCTTCTGAAGCAAAGAGAGGTTGCAAATGCTCTCATAAAAACGTCCCCCATCTTGAATGCAGCCGGTCACAAAGCATTCGCTTTTATTTATTTCATTTTTGGCCCACCTTTATTATTTTATAAGTAACTCAAGGTGGTGAACATACATAATACTCTTTCCTCCTCCTATTTTCTCCCAAAGCAAACCTGTGTGGTGGATTGGGCTGAGAAAGAGAGGCTGGCCCAAAGTCACTCAGCCAGCTTTCATACCTAAGATGGGACTAGAACTCACAGTCTTCTGGTGATTGGCCCAAAGTCACCCAGCCAGCTTACGTGCCTAAGGTGGAACTAGAACTCTCAGTCTCCTGTTTCTCTTGATCTTTTAGCCCCCTACCTCCTTCACAACTCTTTCATTTTTTAAGTATTTCCTAAGAGTTTCTGTTTGGCTTCTCTAAGACCTTGCTGCAAATAAAATATAAGGCAAGAGGCAGGGAAATTAAATTGGAATATGCCAGCTTCTCAATCATAAGTTTCTCTTCATTAAAACAATTACAACAATTGATAATTGGGGCATTGGCCAAGATAGATCCCAAACAAGGTGTCTGAAGACATATTGATAAGATGATCTTCGGGCAATAGATATTCCCAACTGGCTTTGTTAGCCACAGACAATGGAAATCAAAAGAAGTTGATTTTTTTTCTTTCTCTAATTTGTGACATTAATAAGAACAGATCCATGAAATAGATCAGTGTTTCTCAACTTTGGCAGCTGGAAGATGCATGGACTTCAACTCCCAGCATTCCCCAGCCAATCTTCTGGGAGTTGAAGTCCACACATCTTCAAGCTGCCAAGGTTGAGAAACACTGAAACAGAAAATCTGGAAGGGAATTTGAAGGGAAGACAAAGATCTTTACAAGATCCTTGTCTTCCCTTCCAATTTTGCTTTTGCAAGGCTCAGGGGTGGTCTCTGTGCCACAAAAAGTCAAAGTGCACGTCAAGTAATTTCCATCGTTATGTTCAGCAGCCAAGCCATGATCTGCATTTAATACAACGCCCCTCGGGGGGGGGAAAGCTCCCCTTTTCAGTTTGTGGTCTTCTTGTTTGGTGAAGCTCCCTGCAGAGATGAAAAGGTTAGCAAGTAAGAAGCTCAGCTACTGGCAACAGCGTAGGTAGAGATCTGGACTACAGCTCAATAGCGCCTCTAATGGTGGTGGTGGTGGAAAACTCCTCTTCCATAGCTTTGTTCAAGACTCCATCCAGTGAGGAGTCTTTGGTGCTCTCTGAGCTTGGTTGTTTTCTTGCAGATGTTTCATTACCCAAACTGGTGCAGTCAGTGCATTGATGATGTTACTTAGTTTAGATAATGAAAAGTCTGCAAGAAAACAACGAAGCTCAGAGAGAACCAAGGACCCCTCATTTTAACCCTGGGTTAGAAAAATTCTCCCTTTTTTTTGTACTCCATCCTGTATTAAAACACCGTAAGTAAAAGAAGTGGTAAATAGCTTTCATAAAGTACTGTATACATCCTGATATCTTTTCCGAGCCTGCTAGTAAGTAACCTCTGTTTCAGTAATATCATCCCCATCTGAATGTCTTCAAAGGCCAAAGATAAATCCAATATATAATTTTGCCATCTGTCTCTTGCATAGATTCAGTTCCCAGCAATTGCCAATTTTCTACTCATTTGGAAAGCTAAGGAAGAGCAGAAGGGGGGAGGGAGTGGAAGAGGAAAGAGAAAGAGAGAGAGAAAGTGATAAAACATATGCTTCTTTCTGTTGTTGTCTTCACGCTGTGATGTATGAATATCAGAAACGGAAGGGACATTACACTGCGCCATTTTGATCACACGATGATCTGTTCTAGAGATAGGTAAAGTTTCCTCGGCTAAAGGTCACACATTATTCATTCATTCTTACCTCTGTACACCACCTACTCCACATTTCTATGGAGCTCGCAATAAAACCACTAAAGCATCAAGAGACAAAACATTTAATACATTGTGTGCTTGTTAACTCTATATCCTTGGTGGTAGAGTCAGCAAATGCTAGACACCAGGAAATTCCAAGACTGGCTGGGGAAGTCAAAAAATAGCCTAGAAGAAGGCAGTGACACATTATTTGCATATGATTGCTTTAAAAACCCAATATGCAGTGGTGGGATTCAAATATGTGAACAACCGGTTCTCTATGTGGATGCCGCTTCCGGAAGTCCATTCTGGGCCTGGGCAACAAAAACTAGCTACCGGTTCTGCCAAAGTGGTGCGAACCGACTGAATCCCACCACTTCCAATATGCATGTGTCCATGACATGATCAAGAGCCAAGCTTAACAGGACAAGATTTTTGTTTTTCTAAAAAAGCAAAATGGAATGAAAAACATTGACAACACTGCAGTTGGGACATGTTTCAAAAATTAGAATCGTGTTTGCTTTACTGTCATCCTTATCCCCTTTGGCTTATCATTTTTATTCCAGAAACATATTGAAGCTGACTGTTGCTTAATATTGAAGAAAATTAGTGGCCTGATTCACCCAGGCTGGCCTTCCCCAAATCAAAAGTTCTAATGCTGCTCCAACATAGAACGTCCACCTTTGTAATTGAAGGAGATCTAGGAAAATAAGATTAAAGAAGTTGTTTGTAGTCCACCCAGGCTAGAACAAAGTTTGCAAGGAAAGTCAAACATTAACCTCCAGGTCTAATCTTGCTGTAGAGTGTTCAGTGCTTTTCATGCTTACATTTCTGGGATTTAAAGGGCTAAAACCTCCGATTCTAATCAAATGTGCTGCTTCTGCTGGCAAAAATATATCTTTCAGCTTAAATAGGTTTCTGGAATAAATATCATAAATCAAAGGGGATAAGGATGACAGTGAAGCAAAGATGATTCCCATTTTTGAAACATGTCCCAATTAAGCGACTAGCCTTTTCACCTTTTTTAAAGCAGGGGCACCTTTCAAGAACAGAATAGCTGACAGAAGCAGCCCCCATGTAAGAATTATAAAGTATTACAGGTGGACAACTTTTGTTCTTCACTTGCCGAAGTGTCAATTAGTCTTTTTTCTGCTTCCACATTCAAGACTTCTTTTTAATTGAACCTTTGAAAATGCTCAGTGTGAGCGTTTAAAGTCAGATGCCTTACCAGTTTAATCAGAGGAGGAATTTAATCATCTGAGTTTCTGTACACCATTGTTGTTGTTCTGTTAGGTCTGTATAGGTTCCAGAGGCCAAGGAACACATTTTGGGGAGAGGGCACCAAATGAGATAGACCACATCACATATATATAAGTGAGAGTTGATTTTTGGAAAGGAATTGGATTTACTTTTTAAGTGTCATTTGTCTATTTGGGGATTTATTATTTTTCATATGAAAAATGGTAGAAATTGTCTTGCATTTTCAACAATCATGCCTAGTGGGACTTCTGAGAGACCAAAAAGGAAAGATGAGGATCAGGTACAGTTCTTAAGCTACAATTAGCTTACTCTAGATTAGGCAATACAACAACAATATCGCTATCAGCAAAACAGTAACCACACTCACTATGAATAGAGGTTGGCCAGTTGTAGAAGAGCGAATCACTTTGGTCTAGTGCAGGGGTCTTCAGACTTGGCCCTTTTATGACTTGTCGACTTCAACTCCCAGTATGCCTGGCTGAGGAATTCTGGGAGTTGAAGTCCACAAGTCATAAAAGGGCCAAGTTTGAAGACCCCTGGTCTAGTGGTTAAGGCACCAGGGTAGAAAGCATGAGACCATGAGTTCGAGTCCCACCTTAGTCATGAAAGCTGGCTGGGTGATTTTGGACCAGTCACTCTCTTTCAGCTCACCTCACCTCACAGGGTTGTTATTGTGGCAAAAATAGGAAGAGGAAGGTGTGACGGATATGTTCGCCACCTTGACTCATTTGTAAAAATAATAAAGGCAAGATATAAACAAATTAAAAAAAATATCAATATCAGCAACAAAGTAACCATGAATAGAGAGGTTGGGCAGTTGTGGAAGAGTTGGCCCTGGAATGGATTTATTGAACCAACTTGAATGCTGCCAGTGGAAAAGTCTACGTAGAGCCAAGGTCTGGCAAACAAACATTTGATGAGGCTGAAGCATGCACTATGGGAAGAAAAGCAGGACTGCCTCCTACCTGCTGGCTCAAATCAAAACAGATTTTGTAGCTTAATTACACACCTCTAAGATCTTGTTCCCTTCTCAACCTCCAAGAGCCTTTAGCCGAGACCTTGAATATGGTCAATAAATAATCTAGGTTAACATCATAATTGCCAGTAAATATCTACTTGCCTCCAGAAGTTATGGGTGCTCCAACACTGGAGGTTTTTAAGAGGAGACTGGACAGCCATTTGTCTGAAATTGTATAGGGTTTCCTACTTGAGTTGGGGGCTGGGCTAGAAGACCTCCAAGGTCCCCTTCCAACTGTTATTCTATTATACTAGTAGGAGAAGGACTCTTCCTGCTTCACAAGGGTTCCATTGGCCTGGCATCTTCCAAAATTTCAGGCTGGGTTGTGTCATGTTCAGTTTAAGAAATAGAGATGTGGGCCACTCCACCTTATTGAAAGCAGATAGTGCACAGGGGCCCCTTCCCCTCTCCCCTCCTCCTCCTCTGATATTTCTACTTCTCCCAGACTATCCCTGCCTTAGGAGCCCTGCCCAAAGATCAAATTTAAGAGCTCCAGCCTTTGCCAAACACCTGTTCCCCAAAGCCTTCCGCCATCAGGAGGGTCTGGCTCTGAACGTTGACTGCAACTCAGATGTGATTTCTGCTTGGTTACACACGGGGGAACGGGGGAAGAAAAAGCTGGAACTGAAAGGAAGTGGAAGAGGTCACCGAGTGAATGGGCACTGACTTAGCCAAGGTTACATGAATGTAACCCCCTTCCCCTTCCTCTCCTCCCCTCCCCCGCGCCTTTTCCAAGATGCACGCCTCTCTTTGCCCTCTGAACAATTTGCAAACCCTCCGAAGGGTAACCGAAAGCAGGAAGCGCTTGAAAACAACAACGGCGGATTACACAAACTCCAAAGCCTGCAAAAGCCCGCCGCGGTTGTGTAGCAAGCGAAAGCGCAACCTTAGCCTCCCCCCCCCTCCCCAAGCCAACGCAGACACAACGCGTAACACGAAGTTTTCGCTTACCGTGTTCTTCCTAGACACCATCTTCTCCAACTTTTTGGCCATCCGGATTAGCTCCTCCGCTTGCCCCATGGTTTCGGCCGTCTAAACGGGCGTCCACACGCTCTCCCCCTCCGCCCGGGTCCAGAGATACGTGTTTGTTTATGTACGTATGGATCAAAACACAGCTCGGGGGACGACCCGCCGTCGGGTCTGTTTTCATAACACGTCTAAGGTTTCAGGGGTTCGATTTGTTTATTTAGGAAGGAACGGGGAAAGTGCTTGTGGCATTAAAAAAAAGGGTGGGGAGAAAAGAAAGGAAAAGTTTTTGCGCTAACTAACTACAAGTTGGACCAAGGGAAGAGAAAGCAGGAGAAAAGGGGGAGTGGCGACCCAGGGACTTATAAACGACGGCCATGCAGTCGAAATAGCACCCTGGGACTAGCTAAATATAGGAGTCAAGGATCAACTGGTGGAAAAAAAAAATCGCAGGCAGGGCGAGATGGGCGGCGATTGAGACCACGTGCGAAGGGATGTGCTGAGCTCCAGAGGGTGGGGTTAAAGCAAGGAGACCTTTCCGAGGAGCTGCTTCAGGGTTAGAAGGAGTTCTCGCCCAGCTGCCTTGCGATGCTATTGATGCCCTAAGGCAGGGGTCTTCAAACTTGGCCCTTTTATGACTTGTGGACTTCAACTGCCAGAATTCCTCAGCTAGGCACGCTGGCTGAGGAATTCTGGGAGTTGAAGTCCACAAGTCATAAAAGGGCCAAGTTTGAAGACCCCTGCCCTAAGGCAGTGTTTCTCAACTTTGGCAACTTGAAGATGGGTGGACTTCAACTCCCAGGCAGCTCAGCAAAGAACTCCACCGGCTGGGGGAATTCTGGGAGTTGAAGTCCACACTCATCTTCAAGTTGCCGAGGTTGAGAAACACCCGTCCTGAAGGGTAGGTCTTCCAAGTGACCTTTAAACTCCCATTCAATGGAATGGGGTCCCACACGCCCCATTTTGAAGTTAAGTTATAGCCTGTTGTAACATCAAGGGATCAAGAGCTGTGGCTTATGAGGTTTTGGTTTTGTTTGTTTTGGCCTCAGGTGTGTTAGCTAAAAGTTGTGTTATAGAATCTTAAAAGGGAAATTGGCACCTGATTGGTAGCAGTGGGTTGTTGATACGTTTTGACTGTCAACATTTGAATTGGATTTGGAGGTGGGGAGAGGGGGGAGAGAAAGAGGAAGGAATGATAGTTTTGAACAATATTATTCAAAGTTTGGAGTCATTCTGTTTATAACCTAATTTGACACACCATGTTTTCTTAATTATTAAAGTTGAAGGTACATGTTTTGGTTAACATGTGTATACTTTTCTGTTGTTAATTAGTTCAGCACTATTTTAAAACAAAATAAAATACGGGGGTCATCAAGGTGTGGGAAGTCAGCCCCCAGAGAAGAAAATATTAAAAGGGCAGAAAAATGTATTTCCTCAAAAGGATTTTAAAAGCAGAAACCAACCATGCCCCAAGTCTCTCTGCCCCAAGCAGAAGCCAGCCCTGTACAAATGCAGATGCAAACCATCAGGAAAGTTGGAGCTAGAAGCTTAGGAAGACAAAGACACCTAAAATCTGCATACCCCACCCAAACTCTAGGAGTCATTAGCCCCAGCACCAGGGAAGCAGGATATAACTCTTGGGACATAATAGGATTAACCCACCACCATCAAGAATACCAGAAAGGCACACCCAGGCTCAGGTCAGAATACGTGACACAGGAAATACAAAGCCTGAAACAGGAACAGGAAACTACTTCAAACAAAAGGCTCGAGAGGGTATAAAAACCTACTACCCACATGTGCTCAGTCCTTTTTCTCTCCTCTTTCCTGCCAGAACCATCTTTCTGTCTGGCTCTTCAATAAATTGCAACCTTCTTTCTAAAGCAGTCACCATGTTGTTTATCCCCGGCTTTGACACAATCTTGATCTCCCCAGGACAACAGCCTGCAACACTTTTGAGGACACTCTTTTGATTCCACCTATTCATCTTATCTGTCTTTCTCCCATTCCTTGCCAAATATAATCCTTTTTAGTCTAGTATCCATTTGCATGACAGACTCAAGGTTTATACATTTCATCACTTCAAGAGCCATTCAATCCATGGTACCTTCAGTAATCAGATGTCCATCTCTCCATCTCTTCATTTTCCTTGGTACTCTTTACAATACCACTGAAAAGGCTCTCACTAAAATTGTTATCTTCTGCTCATTGAAGTGCCCTTGTTCTTCATGATCTTGGCTCAGTCTCTGTCTCTTTTCCACCCTAGAATTAATCTCCTAACTTCTCCAACACAGTGGCTTTTATCTGTTGTTCTCCTATCTTCATCAAAACATTAAAAAGAAACTTGTTTTTAAATGTTTTAAAAAATGTTAAAAATAAGGAGAAGCAATTCCCACCTTTCCACTGGAAGAATGAGGCCACAGCTTTGCTTCCCCACCTCATACCACAAAACTTCATTCTTCCGGTGATACCATCACTTCACAGGAAATGCCCCTGGTTTTATTTTAGGGGGGAAATGGGGCCTCTTGTCAGTCATAAAGAATTGGGACCCCACAGTAAGTTCCAATTAAGAGGGCTTATTGCTCATGCCTATACAAAACAATCAAGTCAACAGTCAGTATTAAATTGGTGATGGAAGAGAATCAACAGAATTGAAGAGAGGTTGGACTTAGACATTTGTAGAAATGTAAGGATTCTATACTGATTACTTGCTTGACTCCATCCCCATGCTCTGCCTGCTCTTCTCCTACACCCTTTGCATTATAATGTTGGAGGTCTATTTTGCCTAATCTGACAATGGCTCTATGAGGAAACACATAAATGAATTCTCAACAATATGATTCCTGATTGGGAATTATGAGAGGTACATTCAAAACCATTAATTCAGAGCCAGCAGTATAAATATATTCTCCAAGGATTCCAGCCATGTCTACTCTTGCCAAAAGCAAGAAATTTTCTACCTAATACAAAACCACACTGAATTTCCCAAAACCTTTTAGCCAAGTGAGATCAATATGTCAAGAGTCATGTTGTATTTTCCTGTTCGCAAAGCCTTCAGTCTCTTATAGACCTAAAATGGAAGATATAATTCCTCTCTGATTACTTTGAAATGAAGGTAGACTTCCAAAATCTTTTTCCATAAAAAACAGTACTTTTAAGATCCTGGAGAAGTTACTTTCTAGCTGATTAATTAACTGTATCTTTCAGTAGAGGCTACTACCCCATTATCAGAGAAGAGATTGGGCAGACCCACAATAACTGTATCATATGGAACCACAGTGTTCAGTTTCTTCATCATATTTCATTTAACAGTCAGGGCTCTTTTATCTTCTCAATATCCTTCCGCAGTTATCTTTCACCCTTTTAAAGACAACACACCATTAACATCAACAGAAGCTCCCAAAGCATCACACTGATAAGTCAAAACAAAGTCTTTTGAGCAGAAAAGGAAATGCAAATGTAATAAATACTACTACACTTTTCAAGAAGTTTAAGAATAGTGTGGGAAACTGAAACAATGTGAAAATTTCACCAACTCATATTAATGTAACTTGGAGTCATGTTTTGTATGCTTACAATAACAAAAAAAAGTATAGTGCTGAGTTATTTTACCTGGTGCATTTCTAGGTGTGGATGTAGCCCTTAAAAGTTGTTGCCAGAATCCTCAGGGCTGGATTACTAGGAACAACACATACACACACACAATCAAACATGCATAAACACAGAGAAACTTCAGCAGATTGGCAGTAGTCCATTATTTCTGTCTTTCCCAAACAGCCAATTTTGTCTGGAAATCCTCACTTCTTCCCTCTCCAGAATGAGCCAATCTACAAAATACCATTGCAAGAAAGATGTTTGCATATATCTCAGAAGCAATAAAAACTGTTTTCTTTGGAAAAAGAAAATATGCAACCTTTGTACGCAAGGCCAAGTTAATGACACAAGAGATTGCACCTTCCTACGGTTCCTGCCTCTATGGCTCCTAAGCCTCTGAAACATTCCCTCTAGTCTACATCCTGGGAGGAAGATTGTCTGATTGGTTCACTCAACAGCCTTTATGACAGAGTTTCTCAATCTTGGCATTTTGAAGATGTGTGGAACTCAATCTCCCAGAATGTAGGAGAAGAAGTGACAGAGCCTGGGGGTGGAGTCAGGAGAGGAATCAGCCTGGAGTCCTTACGTTCCACTACTAAGCGATCCAAGTGCAGCCTCCATTGAATTTGATTAACTCTTTATCTAGTGTCAATTTAGTGAGATTAATGTCAGGCTGGGACATTAAGTTCCAGTTAAGATGATTTATTGCTAATGCCTAAACACAAGAATCTAGTCAAATTAATGTCAATACTAACTTGGTGCAAAATAAGAGTTAACGGCTTCCAGGGGATGCTGGTCGTGTTGCTTGTGGAAACATAACAACTCCAGACTGATTCCTCCCTTGACTCCACCTCCAAACTCTGCCTCTTTTTCTCCTACACAGAATTGTCCAGCCAGCATGCTGGGAACTGAAATTCAGGTGTCTTCAAGCTGTAAAGGTTTATCAGGTTAAATGCTGCAAACCTTAACAGGTGCCCACATTGCTAAGCAAGGATATACTGTACTTCAGATCCAAAGGTAAAAAGATGCATGGGGAGGTGAGTGGGGAGAGAGAGAAGCTGTCAGGACTTCCTTAATTCAAAATGCCCGTTCCTGAGATCACAAGCTAATCATGTGAACCTCTGCAAGTTGCACCTTCTTTAAGGAGGTATCTATCGTAAAACCCCTTTTCAACTTCAAATCCCACATGCTGAATGGGTGAGGGGTGACTTAGCACAAAGGGTTTATTAGTTTATTGTGCAGACTGTATGAATCCAGAAAGGGATTTAATTTAGTAACCAGAGAAAGGAAGGTTCTGAGATCCTTCAAGTGGAAGACTGACAGACGATGACTTGGGGTCTTTTGAATGCAAAACAAACCACATCACTGGAATTATGGAGGACCTCCTTCCCAATGGGCAACTTGGATATTTCCCCAGAAGTCTTGATGTTCATCCTAGACATCTCTAGTACATATGCCCAGTGGTGGGATTCAAATATGTGAACAACCAGTTCTCTGTTTGGATGCCACTTCCGGAAGTCCATTCTGGATCTGGGCAACAAAAAATTCTACCAGTTCTACTGAATTGGTGGAAACTGGCTGAATCCCACCACTGCATATGCCCAAATGCTATTAGCTGTTTCCTAGAAGTATAAATCAGCCAGAGACACACTTTCCACATA